GCAAGGATGCACTGCTGGACGAGCTGCTGAGGAGGCAATTCGGGTAGGCGTTCACGACACTCTTAGGTTGGTAATCACTGACCATTTCGCAATAGCCCGCAAGCAGAGCAACTGACGAACCCGCTTGTCATGGCGACACAAAACACGTATGTGTATCATCCGGAGCGGGAAGAGGACCCATACGCATAGCCCGCCTGACGCGTCATCGACCGGTGCACTCTCTGGACTTGAATCTCGGTGTATTAGTATGTTCTGTGTCTTCGCCCTTTATCGTTGCAGGACGTTACTTAATTCAATGCCCCATTACTGAGACAGACAGCTTCGAAGCTGTTACCTAAGTTTTGAAGCTTGAGTCGGATACTGAATGGCGCAATCCCCCTGATAGACGCCTAATAGACGCCGTCGTGCCAGGTCATCACCCCTCACGTGACAACCTTGATTACTCTTTTTGGCAAAACTGGCCCTTTTAAGCGAACAAGAGCAGTTTACGGCTCGCCACCCGGCCACTGCAACCCAGCCAACCATCTGCTCTCTCTCTCCCCTTCTTCCACTACAACCACCATCCCCTCACGTGCAGACCGACTGTCAACAACCTATCCTCTGCATATAACTGCTGTTGATCAGCTCTATGGCACCGTTGACGCGTTATCCCACAGCCCTAACCACGGGCTCCGACGACATACCACTGGCGACATCCTCGTCGCCCCAATTGCGACATTCGCACCGCGTCAATCCGCGTCCGGGACGTCTGTCCCCACCAAGACCCCGGCAGCCACGGCCAGATGCCCGTCGAAACCGTTCCAACACGTTCACCACCGCCGCGACCACACCGGTCCGCGGGCCACCAACTATCGACAAAGGTAAGGGCGTGGACAGAGGACCGCGAGCCACCTCCGTCGACCCAAACCTTGCACCGTTCCGCTATCCTTCTTACACCGCGGTCGACCTAGGTAATCTTCCACTGTCGTTCTTCGCTGCCTGCTCTCGTCGTAACCGGGGTTCGTTTGACAGATGTCGAGGAACGTACTCCATTCACCCATATGTCTTTACCTTCTCGAAGGAGTGTTAGCGAGGACACCGATGAAGAAGAGGACGATAGTGGTAGTGAATCCGACCACATTCTTCCGTACTGCAACCGCAACCACTTCGTGTACGACTATCCCCCCACAACGCCGAGGACCCAAACTGGCTCAAGAGGATGTATCAAACGGTCGGGCCTGACGACTGGCTGAAGGACAAACTTGCTGCCGCCAAGCTGGCCATAGCGCAGCGCCTCTACGAGTCTACCGCCGCCACGCTCCAAGTCAACGAGCTCTACCAGGAATACATCGCCATGCTGGCCGATATCGGGCGGCGTGCGGGTGAAGACGTAGTGAGGTCCATCTGCAAGGAGGCGAAGGTACCCTTCGAGCAGCTCTTCAACACTGAAGGCGGCGCAAATGGCAGACATGTGCCCGCTCCCGCTCCTCGTCCCCAGCGGAACCCGAACCCAGCAGCCCGTGGTCGGGGTGCCCAGCAGACGTGCGCGTTGGGCGTAAAGCTTCCTGCGGTGGCTACTATGTTGAGGACGTGAGTACAACCAGTCTTGACACGTAGACCGCCCCTCACATTTTGCGCCAGTGCTCCCTCTGCCGCCCCCCTCGTCCCGACCGCTCCCGTCGCTGGTACCGTCCGTACTGCTCCCATGGTGGCCGAGCCTCATTCCGACGCCGAGACCGAGCCCGCCGACCGCACGAGCCCTGCCCCTAGTTCGCCTACACACAAAGCCTGCACACGCGCTCAGAAGCGCCGCCGTGATCCCCTGACCAGGGACCCGACGCTCCAGCTGGAGTGCGTGCCAATCAAGAAGCCACGTTTCGGCAAGTTTGCTTCAACGTTCACAAACGTTGCCCGCTCTTCGTCGCCGCTTCCGCCTTCGTCGCCGGTCAGGACGGAGTGGTCGTCGAGCGTGCGCATGTCGTCTCGCTCGCCGCCTCCTCTCCCCCCTTTGCCCGCTCTCTCCTCTGTGCCTCGTCCCCCCCTCCGCCTGTTCTCCGGAGCCTCCGGAGTCTGCGCATGTTATCGAGGGCGGGCCTCGAGCCGGCGAGTGATGTCCCCATTGCGAGCGAAAGCGACTTAGGCAAGGATGATGACGACTGGCGGATGAACGACAGTGACGCAGAGAACATCGACATCGACGGCCGCGCTGTCAACCTCTCCCAGGCTCCTGCGGCCCTCGGGGGCAGCCAGGGCGAGGAGGCGGACACCGACATGGACATGGACAAGGAGACTGAGACTGGCGAAGGAGGGGAGGTCGCGGCCGTTTCTTTCCGCCGCCCGCTCGCCAATATGATCGATCCTGAGGCTGGGTTCACGTACTACGCCCCGGAGCATATCCGGCCTCCGTCGAGCCAGATGGACTGGTCGATGGCCTGGTCCGACAAGGACGAGAAGAAGGACAAGGACAAGGACGAGTTCGAGGACGACTCGGACGATTCCGCCGTGGCCGTAGTGGGCGATGCGGAGGGCGCGCAGGGACACGCCGACTCGAGCTTTGGCGACAGTGTCTCTGCGGCAATCGAGAGGAAGAAGCGGATCGCTGCACAGCGGGCGGTGAGCCCTGGTGCTGGGGCCCGGCTTGGGGAGAGGCCGTACGTTCGTGGTGAGAGGGAGCCTCAGTGGAAGTTCGACTCCAGTATTCTCATCTCGTAGAGAGATGCCCCTCTAAGACAAGGTTTGTAGTCTCTATTTCTGTTGTCAATGTGTATATTATGTGTATATGTAAGTGCTGCCAACTCCATACTACGATACGCTGTTGTCAGACCGTTGTTTCGGATACGTTGTATACTTGGGTTACGGTATTGTTTGCGTGGCTATATCTCAATGTTTTCGTATCGCTGCGGTTGGGTGATGATTGTTAGAATACCTTGAAGAACTAGGTAGTGCTGGGTGTGGCATGCTCATATATATTTTGAAGGGGAAACAAAACTTGATGCAGTGCGGCAATACCTCAAAATGCTCGGAGTGAGGATCGAACTCACGACCTCAGGATTACCCACCGGAGTGGTCATACTGAATGTATGAGACCTGCGCTCTAACCAACTGAGCCATCCAAGCGATGTTTATCTAAGGTACCTATACAGTATATCGCGACTGCAATGGTGACGAGGTACAGTAGGACACGCCTACATAATCCGGATATTACCCACTGCTTGGGTTCCACGACGTCTATCACTCTGAGTGCACTGAATAGTAGATGAGTAGAGTTTACATGAGCGACCTCCCCCAGCGTGCATGGATTATATGTACAGTCTGCCAGGTGCCTAGCCTGAGAGACTAGGAGAATCCGAGAATACGCAGAGTCGATGATGTCACGAGCGATGGGCGTCTGGGGCAATCGCGCGGGGGACGCGTTTATTTGGGCCGCTGAGCTGAACCACCGTTGCATTCTGCCACATCCTCCGACGACCCCTCTGAGTCTCTTCTTTCCTCTCCGCATTCGCACTCGCATTCACGATAAACTGCTACGCCTCCTGACTGCCATACTCCTGCATACAACGCTGTATCAACTGACCCTGCGACTTCCGCCACTTCACCGCACATCCAACACTATACCCTTGCGACCACTCTTCCACAGCTTTGTATATCCTACTGCAGCTCGAAGTATCTACTTGGCACGGGCTTACCACTCACGCATCTCCACCAACGAACGCCTCGCGACCATTAAACAGTCAACATGTCACAATCCCAGGACAAGGCGAACGCGCCCATCAACGTGAAGTTGCTCCTCATTGGGAACTCCTCAGTCGGGAAGAGCAGTCTGCTCCTTCGTTTCTCGGACGAGCAATGGCTACCAGAGGACGAGTCGAGTGCGACGATAGGCGTTGACTTCCGGGTGAGTCCCGTCCGGCTTATCCTGCACCGGGTCCATGCTCAGGCGCCTGTGTGGTATCGCAGGTGCACAAGATGGACGTGAAGGGCAAGAAAGTCAAGCTGAGCATATGGGTACGCACCAGTGGAGAGGGGGGAGGCTGCACCCATGGCGCTAATGTTGCGCACGCCTGCAGGACACTGCAGGGCAGGAGCGTTTCCGGACAATCACGTCTTCATATTACCGCGGTGCGCAGGGCATCATCCTCGTGTACGACGTCGCGAACCGCGAGTCTTTCGATGCGCTGCCGAAGTGGTTCTCGGAGCTGGAGACTTACGTCTCAAGTGCGGTCGTCAAGATCATTGTGGGGAACAAGGTGGACAAGGTGCGTCTGTTGCTCACTGTCGCTCATCCACGCTGGCTACCCTCGTGTGCATGAAATATCTCACCAATTGATTCTTCATCTTGGCCTCTGTTCCTCTATCGGCCACCATGTTATGACCGCTCTCAATTCCGTCTGCAACATCTTACCATCGTGACTCAAACGCTCACGACCGGATATCTGGATAAACGACCTGGTCCGACCCAATACGGACACACACATCCCACATCCAGGAGTTCTCTCGGCAAGTGCCCGCATCAGAAGGCCAGGCATTTGCAACGCGCATGAACGCCCTCTTCGTCGAAGCGTCGGCCAAGACGGCAGTCGGCGTACAAGAAGCATTCCGCGACGTGGTAGAGCGCATCCTCGACACTCCCGAACTCTGGCAGAGCAATATCGGACCGCGCAAGGGCAGCGGTGGCGCACAGGCTACTGGCACACGTGAGGGCATGCCTGGGAGCATAGACCTGAGCAAGGAGCCAGACGAGGCTGAGGGTGGAGGTTGCTCGTGTTGAGGAGCATGTATATACTGCTATCCAGCCTTGACTTGGGGTACCTAGTGCATCCATCGTCGTCTACGATCCGTTAATCACAGATGTGGCGAGGTGGCTTTGTCAGGCCTTGAGATATTTCACGACTTGCAATGCCGTTGATATGGTTGCTGTATAGGGTGTACTTCTATTTTGGGAGATCGCCTTTGTACAGATAATGTGTAAGTTGTGAGGCGTAAATTGTGATTATATAAAAACCCTGCTCTACTAAAACTGTGCTTGGATGGCTCAGTTGGTTAGAGCGCAGGTCTCATACATTCAGTATGACCGTTTCGGCGGGTAATCCTGAGGTCGTGAGTTCGATCCTCACTCCGAGCACATTCTCAGAAGAGTGCGTGCTTTTTTGCTGATATTTCAGACCGGTGCAACTGTCGCAATCTGGCCGCATGGTACCTTCTCCAGGTTCCCCCAGGGTCTCGCTTGTCAGCTGGTAATGAGGACGGATATTCACTACCGGGATACTCCTGAACTAGTGCTTAAGCTTTACTACCACAATCCTAACCTTGAAGGTCCTCGTCCGACCACACGCATCCGCTCAGATAGGTCAGTGGTCTACTTGTTGCGCCTCGAGTGCCCGAACCGTTACGGTATCCATCCATACTCGCATATGGCGGAGAGTAGACTCGGAGCCCACCCTCACGAGTCATGAGGTGGACTGACGGTGTTTTAGGATATAGAGCCGCAGAGAGAGATATCTAGCTTCCGTGGCCAGACTGCGAGGAATTCAATCCAGCCTGAGTTGACTCGGTCGAGACTCGATGAGGCATCAATTTTATATAAAGCGCCCATTCCCTTGTATCCAGATACCTGTCGCGCGCCGATCTATACACGCGTCAGTTATCCAACTGAACTCCAGCATCGAAGTCTATCTGCGCTTCGCCGCTACCTCAGTCAGAGGATGAGAAATCACCAGGAGTCTGGATATCTATCCATTAGTAGTGTGTATATTCCGATGGCGACTGTCGTATATTACAAAAGACAAGACAGGAGCATCTAGTAGTACAACGAGCGTCGCCAACCCCTCAGCGCATCCTCGTCAGTCCATCCGCATCCGCATCTACCTCTGCATACGTGGTACCATCATACGCGTGTGCCATGGCCGCACCGAAAGGGACAGCAGCACAGTCGAACACAGCCACAAATAGGACACTACCAGCACGCACGAACAGCCTCACCACGACTCCAGACAAAAAGGCGATAGCGTTTATGAGCCAGTGGTCGATGAGGACGCGCGGTAAACGGTGCCCGAGAGCCCCATTCACCACGTGGGCCAGTACCACGGGAAGGCTGTCGACTTCTGGATGACCCATGCGAGCCACGGCCAGTCGTCGTCGTCGTCATCGTCATCATCACCATCGCCCGGAGCGGGGTCCTCAGGGGGTAGGTCGCTTGAGCACTCCGTAGGCAGACGGTGTCCCTAACAACACATCTCATTAGAACCATCACCAGAAAAGGGGGCAAATGGGGCTTACGTTCGTGCGCACTCCTCCACCCCACGGTGTGGTATTCTTGACCTTGGAATCGACGCCAAGCCCGCGGGATGCAAACGCCTCCCAAAGCTCGCAGAAGTTCTCACCACCAGTGAGAGTCTTGTCGGCCGCGATGATCGCGTCACGCGCATTGAAGAACGTGGGGCGGCAGGGCTGGAGCTTCATACCGTCGAGGACGAGCTGTACAATGAGCGAGTTGCCATGCTTGGGGACGAGCGGCTTAGGCTTGCCATCCACGGTGTACTCCCGCGGGCGGTAGAAGTCGCCCTCGGGAATGGTACCATCCTCGAGTGGCTTAGGCGGGAAGAGGTCGTCGACGAAGCCATGCTTCTCGATGAGCCGCTGGGAGACGACCCAGAGTATCTGCGCCCAAACCTCGCCGATAGCGTGCACGCCCCAGTAGCCAGGCTTGTCGAGGGTCTTGTAGGTAGACGGGTTGATGGTCTCATTCTACGAAATGAGATATGTATATTTCTGGTCATTGAGACGACGATAGAAAAACATACCAAGGAGTAGGGATAGTTACGGATACCCTTCACTTGATTCGCAGCCCACGAACCCATGGCGTAATCCGAGTAGTCCTTGTTACTACGGATGGTGGTAGCCAAGAAGTCTATAACGCGGTTAGTAACCAATGGAAAGAACGAATCGACTGGATATACATACCACCCCAGCCTTCGCCCATTCCACCGGACTCACCCCAGCCCAAACAACCAGAGTTAGCAGGACCACCGGTGAGGCGAGTGCTCAACCCGTGGCTCAACTCGTGGATGACAATACCAGCCTCAAGATCACCATCGCGGTAGGGGTTAGCGGTGTTCCACAAGTACATCCTGCAACGGCCGTTCTGACCATCAGGCGGGGTCATAAAGTTGGCGTTGTTATAGCCGCTGCCGTCTTGCGCGTTCGCGATGACAGCATCGTTCTCCTCGCCACCGCGACCAAAGTTGTGCTGCTGGAAATTGCCTGCAACTTCGGTGAAGCCATATCGGTAGTACAGGTCGTGGACCAAGTTTGAGGTGTAGAACAGCTGCGTCACGGTAGCATTGATGTACTTCTTCGCTTCCACGAGGGCATCCTCGGAGGCGGTCTCCTTGGGGTTGTACTTGAAATCGAAGGCTTTGCTCTCGCCACCGTCAGGGCGATAGTTGTGCGCCCAGTTGTTCTGGCCTTCCCAGTCCTCGTGGGCGAAAACATTGTTACCCCAAGTCGTGCTAGTGTTGCGAATCTTCGACGCCCCCTTGGCGAGGCGAACACCGCGGGACTGAGGGTCGTTGGCATAAGGCAAAGCGTGCCAGCCGATAGGGGAAGCGAGAGCGTCGAAATTCTCCTTCTGGATGGAACGCTCGCCAACCGACGGATCGTTGATACCCCATGCGAAGACGTTGTAAGTGGCGCCTTCGGGCTCCTTCGGAACAGGAGCCGCAGGCATAGGAGAGTCAGACGCCCAGTCGACGACCGAGATGATGCGGTGGGGTGCCTCAGCAGAGACAGCGGCTTCGTACCAGTTGTCTTGCATCTCAACCTCAAACTTACGGGACGTGAGTAATACGACAAGACAAGTGACAAACGGTACACATACCTTCCAGACTAGCTGCAAGGTGGTCGAATCACCGGACGGGACTTGCACGAACGCTTGACGTCCCTTAACGGGGCTAACCGCATCGGGAACATTCTCGACAGTGAAAGTGGGAGGGTGGTCGCCGGCGAAGTGATGTTCAAGCGTGACGTGCATGTCAGGAAGGAACTTGCCTGGGTTCTGCAAGATCTCGGTACTGAGGGCCGCGTTGGGAGTGGCGGCAAGCATGAACTGGAGTAGGGCACGAGTGATATATGTGTTGGCCTGATCCCCATCAGCGGCGAAGTCATGGTGTGAGGCCATGAAATCCGGAGCAGCGACAAACTCGCAATTCCACTCCCGAAGGTATCCGAGCTGGGCAAGAGACCGCCGACGGTCCTCGGACACGCGAGCGGTCAAGTCGACACCCTGAAGCTGCTCAGAGATTTCCTGCTCGAGAGCCTGGCAGTACTCCTCGTGGGGGTTGACGTCACCCTGCGCAAAGATCTGTGTCCCCTTGGGACGGAAGAAAGAATCGCCATAGGAAAGAACGACACCGTCCTTGACGTTGACATTGAGATCACCGTCGACGACTTCGATGCCTTTAACGTACTGGCGGATGTAGACGTGGGTGATACCAGTAGCAGCATCGGTATACGAGTCCTTGCGGATCTGGAAGGAGCTATCGGGGATGTGGCCAACGAGGTCCTCTGCAAAGATGCGTGCACCCTCGTATGGGTCATCACTAGAGCGGAGGATGCTAGTGTGATAGAAAGGGTTGGTGTAGTAGACAGCGTCAGGAAGAACAGGACCGAAGCTGAGAGTCTTGCGACGGGAGATGTGTTGTGAGTCATGAGCAAGGACGCCAGCTAGGCCAGCGGCGGCGGCAGCGGCGACGAACAAACGACGCATGCTGACGAAGGAGAGACTGGGAGTAGATAGATGGGAGAGATTGAGTACAAGATGCTCCCCGACGACGAAGAGGGGGAGGTGATGGTGGGGAAGAAAGCAAGCTGCTGCCGTCCGTCGCTCTTATCAGTCTCTCCTGCGCGGCCCCACGCGACGCTGACAACCCGTATTTGGCCAATAAGCCGCCCGAAACGGCGTCTTCACGACGCTCCCACACCCCTCACTGTGCAAAGCGCCCACGATGACTGGCAGCTGCGGACTCCGCGACAGGTTCCACGCTGTCCCCAACTACCACTGCCGTTGATGTCCTGTTCTGTCCTTATCTCGGACATACCTACTCGCTCTCAGTGCCCCAAATGTGTGCGGCGTCCGGTCTTGACTGTCGGTAACAGACGCCATGTACGCGTCATTCCCTTTCCGTGCTATCTTGCGTGTATCACACAAGTTGGGGTCCCCACGAACTCGCAGCTGCCCTGCATTGCCCCAGTCAGGAAGCTTGGGGTTATGTGTTCTGCAGCGCCAACTCTCAAAGTAACCGTTTCTATTACTATCAGCACTGGTCACGAGCATGATCTGCCCACACTCGTGACGTCACACTAGATTCTCGTTAATGCTGCGACCTGGTTGACTTGAACTTTGTCCCGGTTCAGCTTGGATGGTCAGTTGGTGAGAGCGCAGGTGTCTTGAATGAATTGTAGATCCCGAGGGCGTGAGTTCAACTCTCACTTCGAGTACGTGCATTTTCTCAATTTTTTTGGTAAGGTTTGTACCACTTCCGTATCTTACGAGGGCTTTGTACTTGTGATTGTATCCGTCGCACGCGTGCGCTCGCCAGCATAGGTTCAACAGCTGTAATTTCGAAACTTCCTGTCGAGTGGGTAAGTAGCCTGCAAGGATGAAGATTGAATTTCAAAGCAGTACTAGCGGTGACAATCAACCATGACAGCTGGACCGCCACACCCTGTGGCCCAGGTACATTACTCGAACAGGTGCACAGCTCATATGTGCGTTCAGACGGTGCCAGTGCAGCGCTACTAGTTCGGAATTCTTAATAAAGGCTGAGTGTACTATACAATAGGTGGTACGTCGACAACGACTCACACATCGTGGTACTCCAGAACACCATAGCCTGCGAACGATATCCCCCTACTTTTCCCCAGCCGTGAGCCTACCGCATCGATACAACCTTGATCTGAACACACACTCTGAGTACTTGTGCTATGGTCACCACTTCCATAACCGTTCACTCCGACCAGGTCGCTCGTGATTCCGAGACATGTGTTCTCCACGCCGCCCCGGGCCCTTTTCCTACAATTACAGGGCTCGAGTTCAATCCACCAGCACGCCCTACGGATCATGTC